AAGCAAAGAAAACATCTTGGTTCAGTGAAATGTTTCAGGATGGTAAATCAATACCATCCAATGAAATCAACATTTCATCCTGAAATGTTCAGGGTGTCCCAGATCTCTCCTTTTCTCTGATTGATTTTGGACAAGCTGACTGTTCTGTGTCCCCGGTTTTCTCTGGCACAGAATTCTGCATTGGCAATGACTTCCTTTTGGCATTTTTTAAAATTTGAGTGAGAGAGAGTGGCAGTGGGGGGTAGCGGTAAGAAGAAGAGGAGGGAGAGGGAGAGAATCTCCATCTGAGCACAAAGCCTGACATGGGGCTTGATCCCACAACCCCAAGATCACAACCCTGAGCCAAAACCAAGCCTCAGTCAACCAACTGAGCCACCCAGGTGCCCCTCCTTTGGCATTTTAAAGCTGTTTTCTAGCTTCCATCTTTCCTGTTTTGGGTCCTAACTGGAAGTCTGGGGTATTACGTTCATGAACGTGAACCCCATGAGACTGCAGAAAGCTCCACCATGTTCCCACTTTCTCTTGTCCCCTTTCTGATTGGCTTCTAACTGAGAGGGAGGGACTCTTCATCCATTCATCCATTCATCCAATTTTTATAAAGTATGTGCCAAGTACTGTGGCAGATGAAATAGATTGCCAGAATCTTTGTTGTCCCTTTATGATTTCTAAATGAGATTCGTGCGAGTTCATCTAGTGCTTATTTGTTTCTTTTTTCTTAGAAACATCTTTCAGTTGAGCTCAGAGTTTAGAGGACCAAAATGAATATTTAGATCTCTGATTCAGCAAATTACTTCAGTTCTTTGTGATCTTTTTTGGCTCTAGGTCAGGTTCAGAGCCATCTTTTATTTTTATTTAACGTGGTTATCTTGTGTTCTGTTCTTCCAGATTTGTCTTTCTAATTAAATTTCACCCTGATAGATGGTAAAATGAATTTGCCTTCCCTAGTTGCTCTCAGGAGGGGAAGGGGCTTATATAATAAGCCTGCGGCAGCGAGAAAAGATTGCAGCTGGTAAAATGAATCATGCATACATAAATAATAGAGAACAGACCACCCCGAAGCTGAGAGACTCTCATTGCATTTTTTTTAAATATGCAAGTGTTAGGGAGAGTACAACATTTTTGCAAGAACCTCTGAAATGACCTTTTGCCTTTTGTAAGATATTTATCTCCTGAGGCCTGGTGTTGTCAGCAGTGAGGTGGAAGATTGCATGGGACGAACTTCTCTCTTGATGGTTTAGTTTGATATTCTGTACTATATTAATCGACAGAAATTTATGATGGAGAATTTTTATTTTCCTGTTTATTTTTGTGTACTGTATATTCTTCCAAGTTTCTACAGTGAATGTGCACTCCATTAATAATCAGAGAAACAAAACCCACGGTAAGTGGAATTTTAAAAATAATATTTGTAACCTAGATATTGTGGTGGGCACAAAAGAAATATTTTGTGTGGACGTATACTTCTGTCGTAAGGCAGGATTGCAGGCAGCAGACCTTTGGAACTTAGAATCTGGTGCAAATAAACCACCCCACCCCCTCCTCTAGAGGACTCCCCAGTATCGTTAGGTCACTGTCAGTTTCTGTCCTAGACTGCTTGTCTTCCCCTGCAGTGAAGTTCCCTTAAGGGTGAGGCAGTAGCCCATTGTTTCTCTGAGTCTACAGTGCAAGACAAAGGAGGCTGTACAAATATTTGTTCAGTTTTTGCTTAATGAATTGAAACTGAATTGAAGATGGGCATCTGCTCCTAGCTGCTCTTGGTCTAGGCAGGGACTGCTTGTGTGAAATGGCAGCAAAGCTCAGCAGAATATTCATTCAGCAAATGGCAGCTGCCTAGCAGAATATTCATAACTTGGGTGAGCCTGGGACTGTTTTCATAAGATGGATGGGTTCAGCTTTCACTGAATTTTGGTAGTTTCCCTGGGGGGGGGGGGCAAGATGTGAGTGGAAAGGACAAAGGAACAGGCTGGGAAAAGAAGGGGAGACCAAGGTTGTGAGCCGATGACACTGCACACTTTCATTTGTTTTCCCGCCTTTGATGGGCATCAGTTGCTCCTCTATCCGATGACACTGCACGTTGATGACGGTCCCTATTTTGTGGGAAGCAAGGTGCCAGGCACTGTGCTGTGGGCTGGTACTACTCAGGACTCTCTTGCTTGCAAGTGACAGAAAAACCAATTCTAACTTGTTTGGGGGATACAGGGGATTTACTAGACAGTGTACTTGAAAAAAATCCAGGTCCTGGTTTCAGGCATGCCAGAAAGCTGCCTACCTCTCGATTCTGCTTCCCTCTTTGTCAGCTACAATCTCTGGTACAGCCGTCCCGGGTTCCGGCCAGATGACTACTGGCTGCTTTGGGCCGATGACATCCTGCCTCCTCAACAACCACCAAGGAAAGAGGTTGAATGGGGATCATGGTCTCGAGATACTTCCCCGTATATTTTTTCCCATAGGAACCTTTTCTTTTTCTTTCCTTAGAGCCGCTTCTTCCTTATAGCTCAGCCATGAGGTGTTACTGTCCTGGAGGCTGGGCAGCATGGGTACTGGTCAGAACTAAAATCCCACAGGGAGGAGGAAGGGGATACTTCCACCAGAATGGAAGGTGGCACAGCTCCTCTCAGGAAATAGGCAATGTGAGGAAAGAGATGGAAGAGGATGAGTCTAGGGAGAGTATGATGCCCAAGTGCCCTGAGGGGCCTGAGGCCACATCTCTGCCAAGTCTTGACCTAGGAAGGGGTATAGTACAACAAGAGCAGAGAGAGCCTGTGCCCACTTCCTATTTGGAACTCTGCCCCAGAATGCCATGTGCCAACACAGGAGGGCTGTGGTAAAGTGAAGTGGTGATGTGGCATATTTAATGGGAAATGGCTCCCGATGGGGCCCCAGAGTCACCTTTAGTTGCCCTGTGACAAGGACGGGATCCAGGAGCACCCACATGTTCCCTGCGGGGGATGAGAAGGCAGTTCTGAGAGAGAGAAGAAACTAATCTACCCTGAGGTCGCAGTGGCTGAGAGAACAGGATGGACAGGTGACCCACTCCTGCTGGGGAGAGTCAGGCCCAAGGCCGGGTGGAATGGTTGACAAAGAGAAGCTATTTCTCTGCTGGACTTGTTGCTGTGAGGTTGTGAGCCTGGATCTGCTGGGGCATCACGCGGAAGGAAGCAAAGCTGAGAGATGGAGAATCCCTGGATTCTTCAGTCTCTGGAACCAAATCCAGACCAGAGGCAGATGTGCCCTGGCTTTTCATTTGCATAAGTCAACAATTTTTTTTTCTTTGTTTAAGGAAGTGGGAATTGCATTGTCTATCATTTACAGCAGAAAGTGCTCTAACCCATGTAAGTTAGAGGGAGGCAGCACCCGCCAAGGGCTCTGGAGCCGGGAATCAGTGGGAGGACAGTCAGAAGGAGGAGTGCTGGGTGGGATGGGTAGACTGAGAACCAGGAGAGAGAGTCAGGGGTGATGCTACAGGCACAGTGAGAGATACACGGTTCCCGGCTTCATGACTGGAAGGGGTTGTGTGTCGGTCAGGGCAGGAAGGAGCTCAGGAGGGCAGGGCATCACAGGAATGAGGCGAGAAGGGCAGGCTAGCAGGGTTTGAGGAACCTTGAACCTTCAGGGGAGGAAGGCATCCGAGGTGGCTGGGGGAAAGATGAGACTACATGGGTAGATGGGGTTGGGAGGTGGGAACAGAAGACTTTGGGGAGGGAAGTTCTACGCAGTTCTAAGCAGAAAACCAGAGAGCAGGCAGAAACATGGGTAAATATCTGGGTGTAGTGTAGTTTAGGAGCCATTAACACACGAGTGAAAGAAGGGGCCAAGTGATGAGCTCCTCCAGAACGTGCTTCTCGAAGGTAAATCGTAACACTTAGTGTCTATTTTGTTCGAGGCCAGCTGTGCTAGGGCGCATAGGGGTCCCTGACACCAAAAGCCCGACAGTCACAGTTGGTGAGATCATCTCCCACAGAGAAGTCATGTAGGAATTCGCCCCGGCTAGAACCCAACATTGGAAAGGAATGACCCACAAGTGTATCAAGTTCAACCGCAAGCCTCACGGCTAACAGCACGTAACACAAATCCGTTTCAAGCGCTGGGTGAATCCTCAGCGGCCCGCTCCTAGGAAGCCGCGGCTGGGAAGGGGTGAAGGAGAGGCCTTGGGGCCCGCGACCTGCCCAGGGCGCCTGCAGGCCACCCCGAGACCCCGCAGCAGCAGGTCTACAGTTGGCACCCACGGCCGGGTGTGGTCGGTGCCGGAAGAGAAACGTGAGGAAGGCTGAACGAGGGCGGAGGCACGGTGGCAAGAATCGTGGCAGTTGGGGTCCACGCGGCAGCAGTCCCCGGCGGTGGAGGGCCCCAAACTCGCGTGCCCCTCCCAGCACCGGGATCCGGGCGGCGCCTGGCCGGGCACACGGCCCAAAGGCACCCTCACTGGGACCCGGGGCCCGGGCCGGGTCCGTGTACCCTGGCCAAGGCGTGCGTCTGCGTAGCCCCTGATCCAGCCCAAGTCCGGCTTTGTGAGGCGCGCGGCGACCCTGCGCGCCTGTGGCCGCGGTCCCAGTGCACTCAGGATGCCCGTGACCGTGGCTTAGGCACGCCGGGAACTCCGCGGGCTGGCGGGTCTCTGGGGACTGTTTGGCCTCCCCGGGTCAACGTCCTCTCCGCTAACCCTTCCGCGCCCTTCTCCCCGGCCGGACCGCCCCGCATCGCCGCCTCCGGGGCGGAGCTCGAGGGAGCCCGGCGCGGGGCGGGGCCAGCAGGGGGCGCTGCGGCATGCCGCGCGGCCAGGCGGTCGGCGCGCGCCGCCCTCGCCTCCCCCCGCCGCCCCCCCGCGCCGGGCTGAGCAGGCGGCCAGCGCCGAATCGGGCGCGCAGCAGCGGAGCCGGGGCCGGAGCCGGGCCGGGACCCTGGACGGTGAGTGGGAGCGGGCCGGGGTCGGGCTGGCTGCCGTTGCGGCTGAGCGCTGTGGAGGCTCGAGGCGGACAGGCGTCCCCGGGTCCGGGGTTGAAAGCCCGAGGGGGGTCCTCGGGAAGCTCCGAGGCCGGGACGATGGGGCAGAGTCTCCCGTGGGAGAATAGTGCTGGGGTCTGGGGCGGGCTTCGGAACACCGGGTCTGGAACCCGCGCCTGAGTTCCCTCCTCCCTTCTCGCTCCCTCCGCAGCCCCCCAAACCCCAGCCCCCGACTCGCGCTTTCTCCCCAAGCCACCCCGCCCTCCGCCCCTCCCTCCCCTATCTCCAAGCCTCAGCACCCTCCAACTCTGCCGACGATTCCGGCGCCCTCTCCCGCGCCCTCGCCCCCACCTCCCGACGGGCGCCTCGCCCAATCCCGCTGCCTCTGGCTCCTCCACCTCCAGCCCCGCGCCTCTCCTGCCCCGCCTGCCTCCACCGCCTCCCCGCCCCTCCAACCCGCTCCCGCCGGGCCCCCGCGTTTCTGCGCCTAATTCCAGCCGGCTCTCGAGCTCCCGGGATCCGGGATCCCGCGGCACTTCAGAACCTGCTGGTCTCCAGGTGAGAAGGCGGCGGCAACTTCGCGGCCTTTCCCGGGGGTGGGGCTGGCTTCCCCCGCAGCTGCCTGCGCCGCGCGCTTTTGGGCCTCCGGGGACCCCGCCGAGGGGCCGCTGCGCGCGCGGGCTGTCATGCCTGGGTGCTCAGGTTGGGGCTGCGTGGTTCAGACCCCACGGCGTTGCGTTTGCTCGTCTGTCGCGATCTTCTGAAGAAGCCGGCTTTGTTTGTCACACACAAAAATGGAATTGGTTTAGAGCCGGTTGCTTTCTTTGTGGCAGCAGCGGTCTTTCAAGTTGTACCTGTGGATGGTGAAAGGATTAGCGGTGCAGAAGGATGTGGAGCCATATTTTCCCGCTCCGCTGGGCGTTCAGCGAGGCTCTCACCGTCTGGGTGGCCAGTGCCTTCCTGGGAAGGCTGGGATGCTTTGGAGGCTTTCAAAAAGTAAAAATCAGGAGAGATGTGGAATTAGATCCGTGCGAATGGGGAAGCGTGGGGTGGATGGCCACGGGGGCCCCAAGAGGGCTTCCCAACTTGGGGACATTTGTTGCTGTTTGCCGAGGGCCCCCGGGTGAACCCGAGTGTGAAGCAGACCGTGCCCAGCCCAGCCTTACAAACGTGACGTGCCTGCAAACGGGGCTTGGCAACAACTCCTTCTCCTTAGAGGTGTTGGTGTTCAGTTCTGGACATCTGTGGGAAGAGAGTTTAAAGCAGATGGTTTGAAAAGCCTCGTGGTCCCTAGAGAGAGGTGGAGATGTATTGGTTACGGCCTGGAAGCCAGTGCTTGAATCTGCCCCATCCCTTCTCCTGGCCTTCATTAAGTCTTCACTTAAATTAATTGCCTATTTCAGAGAAAGGACATGTAGGGGATACTTCTCTTTCAGGGATTAGTTCCTGGCCAGCCCACCCTCACTCATGCTTGGGAGGCTGCTTTGGGGCACCAGGGACAGGATGGGCCACTTGGCCTCTGAAGCACAACACTCTGAGCATTTGTGAAACTGCAGGATCAGTAACTTTTTTTTTCTATTGATTGGCCCGAATAGTAATTAGCTCAATATTCTTTCAGCATTGAAGAGTGAATTAATAAGTAATTAGCCCAAGGGCACACGGGGGCTCAGTGGGCTCCCTCTGAGTGCCCATAGATGGCTGCGGGCATCTGCTCAGTCCTCACCATACTGCTGGGTGCTGAGTTGTTGGCTGTCAGATGCCCCACTAGCTAGAGGGCCTCAGCACCCAGCCTGGCACCCTCTAAGTGACAGGTACTCCGTGTTTATCTAGGAAAGAAATGGATCCCCCCTCTTCAATCTAGTCCGAGTCCATAACTTATGTTTTCCATTGTGCTTCACTGTTTTCAAAATATTATCCTTAAATTCATCAATTTTTTAAAAGTACATAATGTCACTGGAGACAAACTTTTTTTTTTTTTTTTTTAAGAGAGAGAAACTCATTTTCATGTTTATTTGGGGCAGAGAGCTCAGTTTGTGGGTCAGGCTCTGATCGCTGTGTCTCTGACCTCCGTGGGGACTCCAGAATTTCCACGAAGGAAATCAGTTGTCCTCATCCTAGAATTGGAGTGAGGAAATGCTGGGCACTCTGGGGAGCTAAGGCTGTTGGCTGAGGGAACGAGTCCTGCACAGCTTATCCTATAGGGCCCTGAGCTGTGGCTGCATCCCCCCACCTCAGGCATCCCTCATCCCTGTGTGTGACGGGATGAAGCCCTCAGGGAGACTGAGTGCCATTGGCGGAGCCCTGCCGGCTGCTTCAGGGGGCACCATCTTCGGTCCGGTGGTTGCTGTCCACTCCAGATCACTTGCCCATGGAGAGTGGGGAGTACCGCCTCTTAGACATTTCTGGCAATATGGTTTGCAGCTCTGGAGTGGGGGAGGGAGGCTGTGTTTTATGAGGATGTTTCTGTCTGTTGGAGGTGGCTATGACCCACTGACAGACTGAGCAAAGGCCAGCCCTGAAGAACAGCCAGAGGCTGAGGGAGTGGGTATGCCTCACACCACTTTTTTCCAGGAGTCCGGGAAGGGCTGGTATTCAGAATGTTACCTGGATGTGGGAATTCCCGGCACTGCCCACAGGTCCAGGGTTGTCATGGGCTTATCTTTCTTACACAGACTTTCTCTGTCTTCGGGTCTGGCTCTTACCGAGAATTCCTGCAGCTGGTGAAAATCTGTTTTCTAGAAGTTTAATTATTGCCTGCAGTCTGTGAGTGAGACAGAGAGGGAGAGAGACTGGGAGGGGTGGTGGTGCCTGCTATCTCAAGGTGGGTAGGGAAAAGGATGGGAGACTCTCCAGGGTTCTGGAAAAACAGAAGGGGTAGACTTCAGCCCCAGGATTTGCCCTGGGTCAAGGCTTTTGGTTGGTGGATGAGGACATGTGCCCACATTCTGGTCCAGGGGTTACCATGAGGAGCAGAGTCACTGAGAGGAAGAATAGCCCCATGGTAACCTGAAATATGGTTTGCTGGGCTCACTGTTCTGGTTTCTAGAAGGCCTTGAAGAACAACCGAGAGCTGGCCTTAGCAAAGTGGGAGAGTCCAGAGCTCTTTTACGTTTTTGAGGGAGGGTTGTGCTCCTTTGGAAATGGCTTGAGTGATGTTGGTCTGGGATCTGGCCCTGGGGAGTCACCTCACACCTGAGATGCTGAGGGGAGAGCACAAAGGGGAGCAGAAAAGATGAAGCAACTGGCAGAGTCTGTGCACCCCCACTAGGGGGGAAGAAGAGGCAACAGCTGCTTGTTGGTAGGATGGTGGGCCTTTGGACAGAAGCAGCCTTCCAGGGACCCTTCTTGAACCTGCTGGGCAGCCTGGCAGATGGATTAGGGCCCTCTGAAGCCCCTCAACCTTGCAGATCCTGCAGGGCAGCCGCGAATGAATCACAGCGTCTGCCCTGAGTTCAAAAGGCAGGAGGGTCAGGGTTATCCAACCGAGCCACAGACTCTGGCCTGCTAGCTTCCACCTCCAGAACCAGTATGCTGTTTTGAACGTTTTGGGCCTCCGTTGGGGAAACCCCTGGTTTTTGGAAAGGAACCGCTCAATCAGTAATGAAGAGGGGAGCAGTCCCAGGAACATGGAGGAAGATAAATGATTAAAAAGATAAAATGATTGAAAAAGGAACTTAGAGGGGCCTCGTGGAGGAGTTCCTGCACCAGGAGGCAGCCTTCACTGTGTATTCTTGGCTGGTTCATCCAGGTACCCTACCTCCCTTCCTTTGCCCCTCCCTCCTCTGTCCCGTCCCCAGTCCCCAGTCTCTCCTTCCGCACTACACACAGCAGTGGAGCTGCCTCGTGTGCTGGTACCCTGGGGTGGAAGAGAATTTGGGGAACTCAAACATCTGTAGGAACTTGAAAATTCTGTTGCTATTTGCCCAGTCACTTCCGCAACATACACATTCATGTTTCCATATTATGGGGTATCCTTTTGTCATGTGCTTACCACTGTGTGCCTCTGCGTATAACCGACTTCCTTAGAGAGAGCTGTAATCAATAGCATGGAAACCCGAGCTTTAAAAAACAAACTAAGGTGAAAATTATTGCACCTGGTTTTGACACACCCCTCCCTTTCTCTATGCTCATTTGTGGTTGGAGTCATAATTTACACCAAATTTACAAATAGTTTGAATACTATCTGTCCTACCCCTCAATTAGAGGGAGACATGTGTCTTTCCAACTAACAAAACCACAGCTTATTTTCCTAGGCCCACCTCATTCTTGGATGCAGTATCCAACATTAGGCCTTCAGAGATACAGCCATATCATCTTGAGCTTTGAAATTATAAAATAAAATGAAGCTCTTGCTTGCTAATTTTGTCAACTAATATAGAAGAATCTGAAGTTAGAATAAAACATTTACTGCCTTGTTAACTCTTTATGCTTCTCAAATGAAAGAAGCAGGTAGATTAAGGTGGAAGAACATTATTATAGTAGAAATGTCTGGAAGGTCAAAAATAATAATGGAGGGACACAGTTATTAAGGTTTAAACATTGTTATTAAAATGTGCAGAGGGGCGCCTGGGTGGCTCAGTTGGTTGAGCGACTGCCTTCGGCTCAGGTCATGATCCTGGAGTCCCGGGATCGAGTCCCACATCGGGCTCCCTGCTCAGCAGGGAGTCTGCTTCTCCCTCTGACCCTCCTCTCTCTCATGCTGTCTCTCATTCTCTCTCTCTCAAATAAATAAAATCTTAAAAAAAAAAAAAAAGAAATTGTAAAATGTGCAGAGATATAAACAGGAACTTCCATAGAAGTGTAGGCAGGTATAGAATTTTGGTGAGTATAGAAATTTTAATAGGTCATTTTGTTGAAATATATTAATATCATACATTATGCTTATGCAATACCTTACCATTATAAATGGGCAACTGAGTCCATGATCTCGTTCAATCCTTCCAGCAAGTCTGGGATCTTAGGGATGGAGACGGGACCCCGGGGGTTTCAGAGGCTTCTAGAGCTCAGAACTCTTGAGCAGGGAAATACTGTGTAAACCTAGATATTCCTGCTACAGTTGCTTGATAACCAAATGTGGCTACATAGTTATTTGAAAATTATAGGTAGTCTCCTGCTTAGGGGTAAAAATAGGCTTTCTTTAAAATGTTCTGCAGGTCAAACAGACAAAAACTGTATGATTAGCACCACCAGAAACCACCTGGAAGGATTTCTAAGGGCTTGTGGATTTCAGAGGTTCTCTGCTGATGACTTCCTAATACTAGAGTACCTGAGTTTGTATATTCAGCATAGTACAGTAGTGAAGAGTGTAGACTCTGAAACCAGGCTAGCTTTGAATCCTGGATCTGCCGTTACTGGTCTTGTACACTTGGGCAAGTGACTTAACCTCTCTGTGCCCTGTAAAATTGAGATGATGATAATGATGATGATAAAAATGAGATGCTATTATTGTAAGGCTGAAGTGAGATATCATGATGAGGACTTAGAACGGTGCCTAGCACATGGTATGCTTTAAAAATATTAGCTGTTGGGGCGCCTGGATGGCGCAGTCCTTAAGCGTC